ATGTGAATAGAGAAAATAGGAGGTCATTTCCTTTATAAGTATGCCAGATACCCGCACACTCAATGGCAGGGAAAGATTCTCCCAATCTACAGCCTAACGCTGGAAACGTTTTGAACCCAGCTGGAATTTTGCGCGTGCGGGATCCTTGACTCTCCCGCTGAAACTACATTCCCCAGCAGCCACCGCGGGAGACCCCTTCTCTTCTCCTTCCCCCTTCGCGAATAATGTTGCCGCTTTGCAGGCAAAGAAAGCGGGCGAGCGATTTGCATTCGGGGCGGAGGCGGGGGAAGAAGACGGGGGCAGGAGCGCCTAATTTGACTAAGAAACGCGTATTTTGCAAAGCAAATACGTGTGTCGAGAAGCCCGCCGGAGGAAACCGCCTTGCGAGAGGCTTTGTTTGAAAACAAATAAACCAAAAAAAGGGATGAAGCGGGCGAAGGACGGGGGGGAATCTTTGCGGGAACCGCGGCGCTGAACAATTGCAAACAAAGCAGAGCGCGGGCATTTGGAGAAGGTCAACGGGCAGATTTTGGCGGGGCGGGGGTCGCGTGGAGGGGCTGCCTCCCGCCGCCTTTTCTGTTGGACGTGCCTCGTTAGCTGCAAATTAATTGTTGCAAAGCCGGGAGGGAAAGGGAGGAGCTGCCCGAAGCGTCTCATAGAGGGTTTGATTCTGGAGAACCCGGAACTATTTATAAACTTATTATAGTATACCACGTGAACTTTAAGAAACACATCCACGGGGGGGGGGGGGGAGCGTTTAAGAGAACAGCGCTTCCTCCCATGATTAATTTTTAATATTTTGGGTTCACGCTGCACTGATCCACAAGGTAACCATGACCTAATTCCGCACACCTGGCTAAGAAAAACGGACGAAGTTGAGCACTAACCAAGCTTAGCCTTTTGTGGGAATGCAGCCGCTGGATTGTTAACTGATGCGGTTGCTTGTGTAAACATAAGCTGCTGTGTGGCTTAGCCTGATGTGTGCACCCAGTAACAGAGTACGGGAGTTTGATTTTAGCATAGTCTGTTCAGCATGTCCAGTCATTTTTGTAATCTACAGCTTGTGACTTGGGTTGCATGAACCCATTTTTGCTCAGTTCAAAACTATGATACCAATAGAGGTGAATATGTGTAGCTCACGGTTGAACTGTGGAGTCCTTGGGGTTCTCTGAGCTTGGTTCTTGCAGACGTTTCATTACCCAACTAGGTAGCATCATCAGTGTAAGTGTGGGGTTTGCCCCCTGTTTATATACAGTAGCTTACCCTGCCAGTGTTGGTGGGGGTGTAGTTTTCTCCTTGCTGGTTCCTTGATTAGGCTGTTGTTTACTGCTTGATTGCCTGTCTGAGCTGGTAGTTGCTTAAGGTATTGTTTACTGCTTGATTGCTCGTCTGGTGTTGATCCTGGTGTTAATCTCGGCTTATCTGGGTGTTGTTTGCTGGTGAAGAGGTGTTCTGGTCTTTTTGGTCCCTTTTTATTGTCTCTTTTGAATAGTGTATAGATGTTGATGTGCCTGTTGATGGCTGACTTGTCTGAATGACAAGCTTCCAGGAATTCCCTCACATTTTTGGATTTAGCTTGGTCTAAGATGCTGAGAGTTTCCCAGTTGAAACCGGATGAGTCTGTCCATGTGTTATGAGATTAAGGAGTTTTCATCGTGCCTTCTGACTGCTCGTTGATGTTCATGGATGCTTAATCAAAACTATGATTAAGCAAACATGGCTTAGTGTGATACATGAACTGGCTTACTGCCTTGAACCATTTGCACTACTTCATGGGAGACACTTTTCAAACTTACTTTTTCTTTTGTCCAGCTTGAAAAAAGGGCGAAACCATCAGGCATGGGTGGACCAGAGTTAGAGTACCTAACTAACTAACCTACCTAATACGGGGGCTTCAGTTAGTTGTTGCCTCACACTACCCATCAAAAAATGTCCAATTTGCAGGCAAGAACTCAGAAGCCTTGATTGAAGGCCTGGGATGATCCTACCTTTATGCATGTTATGAAATGTCTGGGTGGGATCTGCAATGTGGGTGAAACCTATGTAAGCATCAGGCACAGCTTCAAATCTTGATTAGGACTTGGATATGGGACACCATTAGGTAATCAGAGCTGTAGACTAGACCAAGAAGAAGGGGACATCTCAGAACAAAGCAGTAGTAACCCATTTCTGTATTTTGCCAAAATTACAACATGGATGGGTCATGTAGCTTGATGGAGAGAAGCTTTACTTTTTCCTCTTTGCCATGGGAAGGACAGACTGCTTTTGCTGGAGATCTAAATAGTTTGCTTGCCAAGGTCTTTTGAATTGGCTGAAAGCCATGTGAAATTAATGCTCAGGGCCACAAGTTTCACACATCTGCTTAATGCACTGTTTGTATGGCAGAAATCTAGGGCTTTGTGTTCTGCAGAAAAGAGTACTTATAATTTATAGTAAACACTTAAATTTATGGCTGCAAACCTTTCTAATTCTTCATTTAAATCTGCCTTCTTGAAATTTATAGTTTGAAATGGCTGTGCTTGAATGAGGAGTTCCAAGTTTCTTCTTCTGAAGAAACCAGTTTCTTCAGAAGAAGCATAGCTGTATCAATTTAAGATCTTTTTAATGCTTTTTGCTGTTCATTTCACAAACCAGATTTTTTTCCCCTCATTATTTATAGCAGCAGTGTTGAGATTTCAAAGGGCATAGTGCATTTGGAAGATCAGAAAAGCAGGGACAAAAGAAAACCCCCTTGGATACAGCATGGTTGCTCCTACAAAGTAAAAAGGATTTAGAGCAAGGTTCCTCAACCTTAGCTACTTTAAGATGGGTGGACTTCAAATCCCAGAATTCCCCAGCCAGCATGGAATTCTGGGAGTTGAAGTCCACCCATCTTAAAGTTGCTGAGGTTGAGGAACCCTGATTTAGAACATCTTTTCCCAAGATGCTTCATAGCCTAGAGAGTAGCATCTATCCAGATCTGGTGTTCTTCCTACTAAATCCAGTGGTGTAGTTCATAACTGCTGCCCCTGGGACTTATGGAACATTGTAATCTCAGATTCCTTTTTTCAGGAAAGAGATCTGGCATTAGAATTTGGGATTGTGAACATGCAAAGCTTCTTTGTAGATTTCATGGAGAAGACTGTTGGAGGTCCTCTGGAAAGGACACTAGGAAAAAAACTAGACTGAACGTATGGAGGAGCTAGCCAGTTAGGTCTGGTGTCCCATTATGCTCATGGCTATCTCCCTTGGACCCCTCCTCTGGCTAGCTTTTGACTTCTTTAAATTACTTTAATTAACAAATTGGCAAGCTGGCATGCTGCAAAATGAGGTGCCAGTCTCCAGCATGGTCTGTATTTCCAAGGACCCCACTGGGCTCCAAGTGGATTTCATAAGTGGATTAAATAAGTGGATTAAATTGGTTGAATGATTTTTAACATCCTTTTATTCTCTATTTTATTTTGCTTTTTATATTTTTAATGTATTTATTGATTGTTTTTGGCTTTGTTGGATGCTGCCCAGAGTCACCTGTGGTGAGATAGGCAGCTGTATAAATTGGTTTAATAAATAAATAAAATAAGCTTTCTGAATAAATAAAAATGATGGATGGATACAATCTACTGCTTTCTTGGGTGTGTCCACTTACCTAGAAAAAAGACATAGATAAGCAGGTGTAGTAGAGAATATCACTTGGTTATGGGAATGGGGAGGTGACAGCATTATGGCAAACCAGGGCTTTGTAATTACTTATGTAACTCAAGGCTGTTATGGGAATGGGAAGATGAATGGGAAGGTGCCACCAGGAGCCATTTGGACAGAGGACCCATAACAAGTTCCTCAAATTCCAGATGTCTTAATTCAAAAATAGGTTGGAGACCTCTATGGTGTCCTCACCTGCTGCCTACTTCTTCTTCTCACAGGGGCAGGTGATTTCACCAGTCTGTTATGAAGGAACAACTAACCTAGGAGTATCCACCTGAGAATGTCTTTGGCTTCATCCTCCAACCTCACTTTACAACTGCCAACTTCTGACTGACAGCTGAATATATGGGCTCAGTTAGGTAATTTTAATCTGGCAATTTAGATTCATCTCAGTGCAGATCTTTAAACAGAAATGTGCATTATTTTGCTATATTTAAAAAATGATAAGCCAAGCCTACTGTACAGAACTTCCTTTTCTCATTCTACTGATAGAAAATATAAGCTTTGCCCCTAATGGTTCTGCATGGATGTCACCACTGTGTGATATCCATTAGAAAGCACCTGTATTTAGTGGTGTGAGAAGCTCTGTATTAGATATGATAAAATGGTCTATACCATGGAAACTGTGGATAGAGAGAATTTTTCCCCACAATTTTAGAAATTTTGATTGTTGACTGTGGGCAGATGCAGGATCTACAAAGAAAAGTTAACGTTCTATGATTAAGTTGTGGAATCTATCACCAGTTATGGTGATGGGCAGCAATTTAAATGACTTCAAAGGGAGATGGGGCTGCATATAGCCATTGATCGTGACAGTTGTTTGCTATCTCTAGAAAAATAGGCTTTCCTTGAAAACCAGCAGCTGAGAAGCACCCATGGAAGAGGATTTTCAACCTCCTGTCCAGGTTTATGAGCTTTCTGAAAGCATCTGATTGACCAGTGTGGGACACAATGCTGAGTTAGTCTAATACAGCAGGCCTCCATATGTTCTTATGGGTTGAGAGGGGGAGGCTTTTTTCTTCGAAGCCCTCAGAGTCTCCATCTCCCCCAAATAACTTCAGCAACAAATTGCTGAGGATCTGGGCTTTCATTTTGGACTAACATATCAACAGAGGATGGGTTCTATACCTTGTATCACTCTGCTATGGCGCTTTATGCACTCTGTAAATGCATAAGTGCACTCTGTAAATGTTTTGCACTTTGCCTTTATTTTAATGGACCCGGATATGTCCCAAGGTGTTGCATCAGGAAAGGCTGTTTCTTCCTTTCTCAAGAATACCAGCTGCACCTCCAGGGCCTAAAAGGACAGTTGAGCATCTTCAACTGGCAATGGTGGGTGGAGTTGCATCAAGCCCTTCCTTCCCTCTGTCTGCCAAGAGAGATGGGCTGTGAGGAAATGGCTCATGGTGCCCCAGGCTGACTCCACCACTGCCCCCTACCAACTTCTCATAGTCTGAGGTTGGCTGCAGTGATCTTCTCTGGCGCTTTCTCTCCCAGATGCTTTTGCGTGGCTTATGGGAATCGCTGCCCCCTTGCACTGTGGGACCTAGGTTAGAACTGCCCCTGCTCTGGCTAAGGGAGATTCTGTTCTCCAGCATTTCCTTCCTGGGCATGGTCTGAGAGGTTGGGAATGCTTGGTTGGGCTGTTCAGGGCGGTGTTCTGGTCTAGGGTGTGGTGGGCTGACCAGATAGACATAGACTTCTGCTTGCTGTGCTGCTGGCAAATGCTGATGCCACTCTAGGCCGAGACGGTGCTGGGGACCTCTGGGAGAATGTGGGTAGACATGTTCCTCAGCATTAAGGTGGGTTCTGGATACCGTATCTGGAGCCAAGGCAGAATACAGCACCCGCCGGGGACCGGGTAAGATTGGGCTGGGGATGAAGTTGATCTCACTGGATGGATGATGAAAGGGCTCATGAGGGTGAGCCAAGTGGTTGGGAGCAGGGCTCTCTGTGTTTAGGCCCACCGATCGGGTCAAGAAGCGTTGCCCTTGAGAACTCCCTCCTGCCACCTCTGAACTCTGCAGTTTATCACCGGTGGCCCTTTGATGGTTCCTTGCCAAAACACCATAGTTGGCTGAACTGTTTCCTGTCTCAGGGGTGCGTACAGGCGAGCTGAAGCTGAAACGGACCCAGGAGGCAACGGATCCTGCAGGACACGCTGGCTGGGGGGTCTCGGCATCAGAGGGGTGGGAGCTTCCTTGGCTGTCCTGGCATCGTTGGTGGTTCCTGTACCAGCTGGCTTTCTTGTCATCTGTGTCATGGTGGCTTGACCATTCCCCAGAATAGTAGGCTTTACTTTTCCTGCCCTGCTGAGGGCAGAAGACTTTGGGCTCGTGGGGGTTGCCAATTTTCACGGTCACTTTCACAGGATCTAGAACGCAACGGAAGCGTAGGCTTGAGGGCTTTTTCTGGCTCCTGAAAAGGGTGGATTCTTTCCACAGCCTCTTGCTGCTGGAGAGAATCTTCATGGTTTTGAGCAGTCGACTGCCTGCAAACCAAGGAGAAGCAGCATAAAAGCCACGAAAACTCAATTGTGCAAGGAAATAATGAAAGGCCGCTCACAGCCTGACGCTGCACAGCTGCTTTTATGGTAGGAATGCCAAAGGTGTAATTCAGCAACATCCTTGCTGAGTTACATCTCCCAGTATCCCTGGGAGCTTGTCTGATGGGGTGGCAGTTCATTCAATGCTTTGTACCCACAATTTATAGAATTCTTGACCGAGCAAAAGTCAAGAGATGGTCATGTTGTTTTATCTGTTATGGAAGCAATGAATGTGGGGGAAAAAAGGAAAGATCAGTTTTCTAGAATTCTCTGGAAGAGCAGCAAAGAGAACGTGACACAAATCCACAGTTGATTCGTAGGCTCAGCAGAGTGGTCTCCCAGGAGCCGGGGATCATGTGGTAAGCCACCTCCTATACTGATGACCCCTAGCTATGGGGGTAATTGCTGACTGTGGAAAGTGGCTATGAGCTACCATTGGAAATTAGCAAGTACAATGTAGATATTTCCTTATTCACTCTCTCTAAATCACTCATGTGCTCTTTCCATTATCCTAACCTGTCAGCTGGCCAGGATGTGATGGGCATTGTAGCCTAAGCATCTGCAAGGCATCAGCATGGCAAAAGTGGGTCTTAGCAACTAGTTTACAGTCTAATCTTAGGGCCATTTCCCATTTGCACGTCACCACAACGCAAGCATTGCCTAGCATCCTCTTTTTTTCCTGCTTTGTCCCCCTGCAGTTGTTCCTATCTTGTTCCTGGCCCATGAGTGAGACAGCTGTATGTCATCCTTAGCTGTGCCAGAGAAAGAGTAGTATTTCCCCTATTCAGACGCAAGGTGTGTACAATCTGTTATGCTTCGTCACCACGTATGTCCGAGGTGAAGCCAGGTGAACAGCTGTGGGTGGGATCAGAGTCAAAGATGTTGGCTCTTTCAAGCTGATGGGAGGGGGAGCTCCCCCACCTCTCCGGTCCCTGATCTGCCCCATTCTTCTGCTGTCTCACTAAAGAGTGGAAACACTCGTGACGTTGGTAGATCATCAAAACTATGCAATAGCATTACATTATTCAGCTGGCTGTGCAATAAGTGCTTTAAATCGACAGCCTTTACCATTTTAGGACAAAGCTGAAATAGTAACAGTGGAATGACAGGGCCACACACACACACACACCCCAATTGCCAGAAAACACAGGAGTCTGGCATTTGTTGCCTATATAAAGAAAGGGGTGTGTGTGAAGGGAAGTACAATTCTAAATAAAAGTGTTCCTATGACTCAGCTGCCTTCATTACTCTGACCTATTTTTCTTTTTCTTTCAAACAAACAAACTTTATCCAGAATGGAATGTAGGAGAAGGGGCACAACAAGGAGACTAATGATGATGGACAGAGTCCTGCAGCCACGTTTCTCCTGTCCTACTGCAGCACCATAACTGGTGGATGTTTGGAGGAGGAGGAATCAACCAGTCACTGCTTATCACATGCTGCATAGACAAAAATCAGGATGGCACAGTTCAGTGGTGAGTCAGGGCAGATGCAGGAGAGACAGGATAGGGATCAGCAATGGAGGTAGCATCGTTCATGCTGCCTAATTTTCTGCCAGCTCAAGGAATAGTCCTTTATATCAGTAGTAGAGAAAGATTAGGGTTCCTCAACCTCAGCAACTTTAAGTTGTGTGGCCGTCAACTCTCAGAATTCCCCAGCCAGCCATGGGGAATTCTGGGAGTTGAAGTCCACCCATCTTAAAGTTGCTGAGGTTGAGGAACCCTGCCTTATGTTTTATCCTTCCTTGCACCTAATAGTGAAACAAACATGCGTTGGCAATTGTTTTCTGCCATGTTCCCCATGATGCTTTCCTTTTATCCCCAGTCCAAGTGTGAGATGTTCTTAAGTTTTCCATAGCTTAACCATAGGTAAAGTAATGTTACAATTTACTAAGACTTTTCACTCGGCTGTTTCTTTCACTAGAATCTTTTGATATTTTTGATTATGAGTTACTTTTAGGCTCCAGTTCTCTATGACCTAGTCCATACCTTGTGTTAAATCATATTTACAGAATGGTTTATTGAATAAGCCATGGTTGTGTGGGTTTGTATGACATGTTAAAGCAAAACCAAATAAAGCTCATTATAGCTTTGTGTAATGTGTGGGTTCAGCTGATGATTTTTATGCCTGAAGGCTGAAGAGAAAAGAATTAGCTGGAGGAAAGGAAAAAGGATTTTGGTTTGTTTCCCCCCTACTTCTTAGGCATCTACAAAATACCTTTCTTGAAGAAAGAATCATATATTTTCCTCAGGAACGGGGCAAAGGTAATCCAGAACTGAAGAGAGAGAAAGAGAGAGAGAAAAAAGGTTGTTAGAACAACTTGTAACTTAATTCACTGAAGTAGTTCAGTCTCCCCCAATGGTTTGTTGATCATCAGACCCTTCAACCAACTTTTTCAGATGCTCTTGGGTGATGTTGGAAGAACTTAAGTCCAGCTATAGGGGATGGCACTGTGTCTATTTTCCATGTAAGAGACTGCCTAGAACTCTTGCAATTATTGTATGAGAAATAGCTAGAATAGGAAGAATGGGCAGCCCAGGGGACAGGCTTCTGCTGTTCTATGGAGGGCATGGCAAAAGATGCTTTCCATGCTCTGGCTGAACATTCTTGACAGCATCCTCCTCTTATTTATTGCCTGGGTGGAACGAGAAAGCACAAAACATGGATACCAGTATAAGTAACCAATATGGAATCATAAAGACCTCAGTCAATATATATAGACACACATACCACATCCAGATCTGCTCAGAGTAGGGCTGGAGATCCTTGTATTATTCAACTACAACCCCCAGCATCCCCAACAGTATAGCATATAGTAAGGGAAGCTGGAAAGTGTAGTCCAGGAGCAGGATGACTCCCTGTATACACGATGCATGGCTTGCAGTTGGCCAGTTTATCCCTCTGCTTGACACTTGTGTTCTAAGTGTCAGTGGCTGTTCCAGCATTTGGGACAGCAAGCTTTCTCATATCTTCCTACTGAATGAACGCTCCCATAGCTCCTATGATAACTTGTTCCACCTATCAAAAAGAGTCATTCAAAAAGGGTTATCTAGGGCCAAAATTTAGGAGATCTGGGAGATCATAGCTTGGACCCACCAACATTTCTAGTTTTAGTTTTCAGACAGCTGTGGGGCCCTTAGAATTGAGTCATGACAGCAGTTTGGGGAAGAGTTTAATTTGCACCCAGTGGCACCTGTTTCTAGACCAGGAGGCCTTGCTCATGGTGACCCATGCCTTAATTACCTCCTGATAGGATTATTGCAGTGTGCTGTATGTGGGGCTGCCCTTGAAGACATCCAGAAGCCTCCATTGGTCCAGATGCAGCAGCTTGAGTAGTTATGGGCACAGATCATTACACTGATGTGACACCACTGCTCTGAGAGCGGCATTCCAATAGGGTGCAATTCAAGGTGCTGGTTATCACCTTAAAGCCCTCCATGGCACAGGATTGGGCTACTTTGGGACCGCCTGCTCCCAAGAATATCTGTCCATCCTACAAATTCCCAGTTTCAGTGTTGCCATCTCATGGTACTGAAGAGATGTGCATTTTCAGTGGTTGCCCCTTTCCTCTGGAACTGTCTTCCCCCCGACATATGACTGGCCCCAACCCTGCTGCCCTTTAGAAACTGGGGTCTTTCCCCAGATGTTTGGGTTTAAATCAGCAGGATCCCCTACAGTATTGGTTGTTTTAATCTGTTCGGCATTTTGCATATTTGAGTTATTTTTATAAATGATGTATGGTTTTGAATTTTCTCTTGTTTAATGTCTTTTTCTTTTTTTTTGTATGCTGCCCATGCTGCTTGAGTTGAGCGGCTTTGTAAATCCCTGTAATAAATACATCAATAAATTTATATTCTTCTCCCTTACCTGGATCTGCTGTTTGTCTCTCTGAGTTGGGCAGCTATATAAATGCATGAAATCAATCAATCAATCAATCAATCAATCAATTTGTATTCCTCTCCCATACCTGGATCTGCTTTTTGTCACTTTATTCACATTCACATTTTTGCAGAACCAAAATGCTGGCAGATAGAAGCCTGTTGTGTTGGTTAGGAGTTAGAAGCTTTTTTAGGGTTAATGGAATGGTGCTTTTGTAATTGTTGAATGTCTAATATACTCTCACTGATATTATGGTGATGGTTGGAAAAATGTACATTCCTCTGACTCTCAGAGGAGGAAGCAAGGTGTAATAGGTAAATAAGTTAGTAATCAGTCAGTCCTGTGTGGCTCTGTTAAGAAAACTGAATTGTTGGGAGATCTTCTGTGTCTCATTTCCTCAGGATTTGCTTTAGTAGGGAGAACCTTTGTAAGAGCCCTTCTTAGCAGACCCCTTTTTTCTTCTTATTGTTTTTTTAAAAGTTAAAACTCTGTTAGGTCAGGCTTGATACCTGGGGACTTCAAGTCCACGTTGCCTTCTTGGTAGGCATTCAGAAGTGGTTTTCTATTCCCATCTTGCAGAAAGTTCCTTCAACTCCCCAATCTAGTCTACAGTGCTGAGATTCCCTAGTGGTATCTGATCGCAGTACTAATCAGGTTGCGCTCGCTTATTTTTTCTGGGATCAGCCAAGTTGGCTTGCTGTTGTTACATGCTGAGGCTTGATCATTGTTAGTGCTCACTATTTACTTGTCTTGTTAAGCCTAGACCCAATTCATGCCATCACCATCACCATCACCATCCAGGAAAGACCAAGCCTTGTTTCTACTGCGGTCATTTGCATGGAGAAAAAGCAGCTGAGCAGAAAAGCTTATATCCAGAAGAGGCTCATAGATCCGGAAGTGAAGCTGATATAAGCCTCACTGCCAAGTCCTGAGCCTGAATGCCCAGTGATGCTGACCCAATGCCCGCTATTCATATGGCCAAATATTCCCTGCAGCCCCTCCAGATTGTGAGGACATGCGTAACACCCACCTGATTCATTTTGCTTACCAAGACAATCAGTTTAACAGCATATTCCAGTATAGCAAAAAGGCCCAACACAATCAGAATGGTGGCTAAGAGTTTCTGATGGGTCTCACCAAAGGGGAGGCAGCTGTTGTACACCTTGTCCCCTGGTGTAGCCATGGTTGGTAAGAAAAAAAAAAAGGAAGGGGGAAGCTGGAAATCAGAAGAGCATCTTCCCTCTCATTGCCCTGTTGCCAGCTGCAGCCACAGCGCCAGCTGCAGCTGTGGAGGACCTCCAAAGGGTGGTCTAGTCCAAGCCTCTTCACTGGCCTTTGTGACAGAATCCCTGTGTCATTCATCACATGTGAGTCAAGCTAGAATTGTCTTGGTTGGGCCAATCAGAAGGCTTCTACAAGCCTACAGGAGGACTTCAATCAGTGGATAGATGTCCACACCGTGTAAGTCTTTGAAACCTAGGGTTTGGTGGACAAGTTGTTGTGGCCCTCTTTGCACATCATGCTAAACTGTAGTGGCTGAATTAACATCCCACACTTAGACGAGAACCTCATGATGTGAACCGTTGAGTCAGGAGGAAGCATCACATTCACCTATTTATTCACAACTCTAATGGAGGAATGGATCTTTTGGGCCAATCTCTGTTTAGCCTAATGGAGTGACTCCGCTTATCATCCTCAACTCCTTGGACGAATGAGAGGATGCAAATGAGATTAACAGTTATGACAGCTTTGGAATTTTTATTATTTTTCTCCCCCAAAGCCAGAGGGATGCTATTATCTCCTGAAACACCAGCATTTTTTTTCTCTGGGCAGTGAAAGAGGTGATAACAAAGGTTTTGAGATTTTCTTTGTGAGAGAGCAGCTTTCTTCAGACTGATGGTTCCCACTGGTTTTGGCTATAATTCCAAGAATGTCCAGCCAAAGACCTGGTAGAGGAGGTCATAACAGGAAGGAACAAGAGAAAAACTTGGACAGGCTTTCAGGGTTGATGTCAGCCCTTTGAGGTAGGCCAGGTCAAGAAACAGACACTGCAGCGATTTCAGGAATGCTACATTATTATTGTAAGGAATATTAACAGAATCTTGAATGCCTGTCCAAGCTGCTTTCTGTCCCATCTTATACAAAACAAAATCAAGGCAGAGTTATTTTACATTTCTCATGCTTGCTTCAATCTCTGGACTGTGTAATCTCATCTTCAGATCCCTCCTTAAAGGTTGGTTCCCTTTGTCCCCCCCCCTCCCCTAATGGCCATTTCATACCTTCCCCAAGGTCATCTCTCAATTTGTTTACAGGATCCGCTTAGTAATATGCATGCCAGCCAGTTCATGCTTAATGAGTGTGCTAATCAAGATGGCAGGTGGACTTTGTCAAATTTATTTTGATTTCAGCACCCAAAGTGGATGCCTTTTTAATGGGAGATGCTAAAGATGTAAAGCCACTGTTATTCCTGCTGAGTTTTAGATCTTTACATGAATAACTTAAATGGGTTCTGCTGATTTCCACAATTCTTTTGTTGTTTGTATGTGTCCATGTGCTTTTAAACATTTTTTTTCATTTATTTTAAAACATTTAAAGAACAAAATGAATGATTACCTAAAAGAAAGCAGAAAAAGGACATAATGGATGGTAAATAAAATTCAGTAAATAGAGAACGTACAATTGTTATAAGATTTAAAATTCATTATTCCATGGATTGAATGATTAATTTAATATATAAAACTAGACTTAATATATCATCTTGAGAAACCACTGAAAATCACTACAAAACTTTAAACACTGATTCCAAGGTTCTTCTGATGCTCAAACAAATCTGTAGTTCTCTTTAAAATGATTTGATCATGAACCAGCCCCATAAATAGAATGAAATATCTTTCCAAGCATCATACTGAAGCAAGCTGAGATTTGCCCCAAATGCCTGTATAGAAAGGGACACTCATGATCCATGAGCATTTGCTGAATCTTGGTATGCATTATGCGAACTCAGATTTCTTGCATGTCATGTTCCACTTTTTAGGGGTTTGTATTACATATATAAATATACACTTTGGAAAAAATAGGCATACCATATTTGGGCTACAAAAAGCTGGACAATCCAAAGAGAGGTTTTAGTGTCCCCTTGCTCCTACCTCATGGGCATCCAGGTGTTTGCAGCTGAGGTATGGTATGCCTAGAAAAAATAATGTAGTTGCTTAAAAGGCCACCAACATAGATCAGCAACGCTTGCCCTCTCAGGCTTGTAACTTAACAGCATATATTATTGGGCTTGCAATATCATTTGTAAGTCAGGCACAAGATGCAACAGCTGGTGCTGTTGCCTCCTAAAGGGAACAGATTTTTTCCTCGTGATTAATTATTTAGCACATGCATTCAGCTCAGGGAGACATTAATTACCCAGAGCCTAAGTAGAATGTTTCTTGGCCTTTCAAGTCCTTTAGATCAGTGTTTTTCGAACTTGGCAACTTTAAGATGTGTGGACTTCAACTCCCAGAATGCTGAGTTGAAGTCCGCATATCTTAAAGTTCCCAAGTTTGAAAAACACTGCTTTAAATCGTGTCACTTGAAAACCAAATCCTGGTTTGGAGTATATAATGCTTCAGAATGGTTCCCCCACCCATACTCCCACATACATCTCACATACTACTAAGGTTGCAGGAGATCTCCAGTGAGGTGTAGCAGTTAAGGTGTGGGATTGGAAATGAGAAGCTGAAGGTTCAAGTCTACCTGAGCCACTGAAGCTCTCAGTAGGAGGAGAGCCAAGTTAATCTAGGGTGGCATCTTCGGATCCAACATTACCCTAGCCACACTAGGCATCTGATGAAGTCAGCTGCAGCGCATGAAAGCTTTCACCTCTTAATAAAATTTGTTAGTCGGAAAAGAAGCTCCCTGGATGACTTTGGGCCAGTCCCTCTCTCTTAACCCAACCTAGTTCACGGAGCTGATGGTGTGTGTGTGTGTGTGTAGGGGGATTGGAGGAATGTAACGGTATGTGGGAATGACCTCGGGAGACAGGAGAAGGAGCCACAGACTAGACAGTGGTCAACAGCAGCTGAGCCTGCAGAAGGAATGGAGACATGGCAAACGGCTCAGAAGGGACCCTCCGTAGTTTCCTGGATCATAATGGTGAGGGGGGAGGGATGTTCTTTCAGACTTGCAAGATTCTGTTAATGTAACCTTACGATAAAGTTAGAGCTAGTACCTCTGGGCGTGCTTCTTGTCTGGACTACCTCACAAGGCTGACAGGGAAGGATGATACGGAGGAGCTTCTGAATGAAAAGCAGGATATAAAGGTAACAATGTCCTAGGTTAGATTTAGAATTATGAAAGGGCACTTTGGTTCCTACTTTCCTCAAGCCTTTAAAATGTTGTGTCCCACACCTACACCCACAAGTACATAAACATGCACACCTATGCTGATAGCAAACACAGACTCCAAGTTCTAATCTTTATGTCGCCCAAATGGCACCTCCAATGCCACGGGGCACCTCCGCACAAAGGGGGAGGCTGCTGCATGCTTAGTGCCAACGTTTGCGGGATTACAAAGGGAATTTTAGGAAATGAGAAAGTTCCCTCACCCCTCAAATGGCCAAACGAAGACGGAGTATACTAGTTGGCAGAATGCTTGCTGACTGTGGGGCGGTGGGGATTTTGGAGGGAGGGGGCAGGAATGGAAGAGGGTATGCTGAAAAAAAAACCTTTGGCTGCCTGGAACTGGGAACCTGGGCACTTCACATTCTAGTATTTCAGTGTTGTCCAAACTTGGCCACTTTAAGATGAGTGGACTTCAACTCCCAGAATTCCCCCCCCCACCCAGCACGGGCGGGGGTG